ATTCATTGCTGGTAAGGTCAATCAAGCATGAAACGTAAGGAAGCACATTACCTGGGAGTGAGCAACACTATGTACTCAGTAGAGAGAACATCAATCTGAAAAACAGAATTCAAACGTTGTTATTAGAAATGTACCTATTATTTCCCTCCACACAGTTTCCATGCGACAAAGCTGTTTTTTGTGTTCACTTAATGTATTCATGCACAGAGAAGTATCACCGGATCTACCTACCTGATCTCCACTCAGTACCTCATTCAGATCCATGGTGAATATCCAATTATTAGTCTATTCAACACGCACACAGCTGAAAAACATGTGTCCATAACAGGCCTTTGTGAAAATGTGTTTCCTATCAAAGCACAGCTCTATAAAAGTCTGCACCTTGTCATGTGACTGCTATTTTGACTCCACCTGCTTTGAGTGTGCGTTTAGGTTACAGCACTTTCAAATGGGAATCCCCATTCCGCGTCTTACCTCCAGTCCTTCAAGACAGGAATACACGTACAGTGAGGGAATCATGAAAACAGTACAATGGTATTTCCTCTGTACTATCTGGATTTTCCAACAAAATAACAGATGTGGATTCCCTCATTTCAGAATCAGAATATATAGATATATCAGAAAATAGTCTTCTTTATTGATTCCTGAGGGGAAAATCTTGTGTAAAGTTCCTCACTTGCACACCAAGGCAATAAAGGAATAGAAATTGTAACAGAAAGCTGGTAAGTAAAAATATGAAGAAAATATACAAATGTAAAAATATAAGCAGGTGTGGATAGGCCTACACTGTTTTTACAGGAGGCTACAGTATGTGACAGAAGTGTCCTGATAAAAAGCTGCCATACTAAATGTTTATATCTGCTGTCATGATAATTTCTCTACAATGCATTGACACCAACACCAACTCTCTCAGTGACTCTGAAATAACCAGCTTAAAGAAAACCCAAGCACCCAGGTCACTCAGTATTTTGATAAACCTCTGTGCTACAGGACATCTAGTGGCAGAAATCGGTCCTCCATTTTACGATGTGTGGGGAAAACAAAACAAAACAAAACAAACACATGTAAGCAAGACCCCATCTGCTTATCGCCAAACGGTGCAGGTTATTTTTGCATAAATACAACAGCTTAAAGTCTGTATGAGAATTTAAAAAAAACAATAGCAAATCATTCCAAAAGTGCTTACTGATGTTGCTGTGTGTTGATAAAGTTGATTCAAACTGATGACGTCGTGGATTCCACGTTGGCCCGGACGTGGCACTCGGCAGTAGCCCTGTGTGGAAATCAGAGAAAACCGACCAAACGTTGCTTGTGCTGTGGCTAATATCAGTGCTCTTTTTCTAGACTCAAACATCCTTGGCCAGTTATGGGGCTCACCATCTCGTCGATCTTCAGCCAGCTCTTTGGCAAAAAACAAATGCGGATTTTGATGGGTGAGTGAAAGCTGTGTTGACGGCTAGCTTTAGTGAGCGGCACGGTTTGTAGCTTTAGCTAGCGTTTGGTTAGTTTAATGGCAGTACAGTTCTAAACCTTTCCCTTTACCTGTCCCAAGTATGAAATTGGGACAGAAGCTGAATTTAAACTCAACAAAGACTCATGTAAATAATTGTTGTTTGTAAAAAAATAAATTTAAAAAAAAGGGTGAAACTAGGTTTCCCACCAAGCATCATCTCATAAATTTCGGGTGCTTGAAGTTACGTTAACGTAACGTCACTGATGCTAACAGCAACTTTATTCCCGAAAGTGGCTTAAAGTTTATTATAGAAATTAACGTTTATTATAACTAAGTTTGCCTTTTTACCGAATAGTCACTTCCTAACAGTAACGTCAGCTTCGTTGGGAGAAAACTGCCGTTCATTTTTAATCTATTTGAAGATAGATATTTTATTAGTTAACCTAAGTCGTTAGACAGTAAGTCGATATGGCGTAACTCCTAATGACGTGTGATTGTCATTGTGTTGCGTTAATGATCAGTCCTGTTTCCGTATAGCTAGGGAGTCATAATGAATGTCCTCGACGAAGTTCATGTTATATTAATACTGTATTAAGATCAGCTTCAGTAATTGAGGGTTTTTTCCCTCCTACTAATTGATGAAAATCACTCAGAACAGATCATTTGCTTTGTGCAGTCACGTGTAACGTTAGTGTATTGCCATTGCATGTCCTCTGCTGTCCTCCCTATAGGGAAACGCATGTTATGCAATTTACAGCACCTTGTTATCCATAGGTGTAACTTTTATCCAGTCCTGATACAAATGTTGGTTTTTAAATCACACTTTCCCCCTGTAGTTGGGCTGGATGCTGCCGGGAAAACGACTATCTTGTACAAATTGAAGCTGGGTGAAATTGTAACCACCATCCCAACCATTGGTAAGAGATGCACTAACAGTTACTTTTAAGTTCAGTTTGATCATTTCATGTGTACCTCAACATGTTTGAGTCATGCAACTTTGTGTGCAGTGTTATTAAGACCTGTCCCATTATTTCTCCTTTAAAGGTTTCAATGTAGAGACTGTAGAATACAAAAATATCAGTTTCACTGTATGGGACGTGGGTGGCCAGGACAAGATCAGACCCCTCTGGAGACATTACTTCCAGAACACACAGGTATGAGCTCTCAAGTACTTCCACACAGATCTCCAAGGAAAGCTGCTTCAGTAAAGACTTAAATCACGCTTTGCTAGCTTCCTCTCCTCATTCATCAAAAGGACATCTACGTGACAGGTGCTGTTATAAGAGTAGCTTATAACAGCACAACTGCTGGAAAGTGAAGGTGGTTAGCGTGAGCTAACAACTCCCTGTGCTTCAGACTCCGGTCTGAAGGCTGAGCAGGACTGGACAAGGCGGGGTCAAAGTACATGAACACACACATTTACAGGATTAAATAACCGACATGGGGAAATTAAGTCTGTTAGAAGCTCTAAATCTCGGTTTCGATTACTTTTCAATTAATTGTCCAGCCCTAAGAACTCGTGTCATCAAAGTATGTCGCTGAAGCGGCGTCACCAACTGGAATAGTGTCAAAGCAGCCACAGATTACACTCAACATCATTTAATTTATGCATTTATTTTAACTGAAGTACTTTACAGCACGTTTGTCAAGACTTTAGTTTGAAAGTATGTTTTCCTCTGGCTACATTGCTGCTGTTTGTGAAAGTAGACGAATATGCATTATTAATTAATCTACAGATTATTTTCACAATTAATTGATTCATTGTTTTGGCTATAAAATGTCAGAAAATTGTGAAAAATGCCTATCACAGTTTCCCAGAGTCCAAGAGGATGTCCTCATAAGGCCAAACCCAAATATATTCAGTTTACAATTGCAGAAGAGCAAGGAAAACAGAAATAATTCACATTGGAGGCTGGAACCAGATATTTTTAAATCTTTGAAAAATAACTTAAAATGATAATTTCATTATGGATGTAGTTGTTGAATAAGTTTCTGTCAATTAACTAATGAATTATTTGGCTAATCATTGCAGTTAGAATTTAGGGAAACTAACCACTTGGATGTTGTTGTTTTTTTTCCTCTTCAAGGGCCTCATCTTTGTAGTGGACAGCAATGACCGTGAAAGAGTGGCAGAGTCTTGTGAAGAGCTCTCAAAGATGGTAGGAGTTTAATATGTTCGGTTCAGAATGGACTGCAACGCAATAATAGTTTTCTGTATGCTGTGTTGAATCGTAATTTGACATTGTCATAACATGCAGAGTAGCTGTCTCATACTGTGATGAGGTTTAATCAGAACAAACAATATTGTTCCTTCCTCCTGGCACATGCGGAACGACATTCCCACGCCAGTTTTAACAGAGTCTCATTATGTTTTTTCACTGTCAATGGATGACAATCCTTCACACCACCAGGATCTGGGATCTGTATATAGTCAAATTAAAACCTCTATCTCTTTGTTCATGCTTTAGTGCATTGCATGGTTAACCCATGAATTTTGAAGCCACTGGGTAACCAAGCTGAGCAGTGAAGTAATCTGTCACCTTGTGTGGTGCGTCAGTAATACTGACGCAGCCTGTTCATTTTAATGGGTGTGGTCAATGTCTTGATGAGTCACCAAAAAAAGTGTACACACCAAG